CCCATGAATTTCACCTCTCAGCTCCCTACTGACCCTGCCACCTGCTCCTAGGAGCACCTGCTCTACCCTGTCCTAGGCAGCCTCATGTTCCCTAAACTGAGTCCATGCCTCCTCAAAAACACGCTCCATACTGTCACCTATGAGATCTTTGTAACAGGCAGATCTGATTGGGTCTTCGCGGCTAACAGCAGGGGCAGCCAGGCAGAATACATAATTAAGGCCGTGAGGGGATGGGGTAGATGCTATGGGTAGAGCTGTGTCTCCTCCCCACAAATATGTTGGGGTTCTAATCTCCAGTACCTTGTGATATGAGCTTATTTGAAAGTAGGGTTATTACAGAGGTAGTCATGTTGCAATGAGGTCATTAGGGTGGGCCCCAATCCAATACGACTGTGTCCTTATGAAAAGGAGAGATTTGGACACAGATACACATGGAGGGCAGACAATGTGAAGACACAGGTATAACACCATCTACAAGAATACCTGAGGCCTCCAGAAGTGAGGGGAGGGGTGTGAAACAGAGAGTCTCCATAGCCCTCAGAAGGAACCAACCGTGCTACACCTTGATCTCAGACGTGCAGCCTCTGGTCTGTGAGACCATAAGTTCCTGTTGTTTAAATCACCTGGTTTGACATACTTTGCTGCTAAGCAGCCCTAGGAAACTAACATGATTGGGGTGGGGAGCGGGGACAAATATATTAGCACACTTGAAGGGAAATGGTAAGTGAGAGGCACACTGGGTCCCTGTCGGGGGGAGAGGGAGAGGGTCAGCCAAAGAGACGGCCACATGAAGCTGGACTGGCTGTTTCCGGCTCTGAAGATGCAGAAAGGGACCACAAGCCAAAGAGTGCAGGCAGCCTCCGAAAGCTGGAAAAAGCAGAGAAAGAGATTTTCCCTTACATCCCTGAAAGGAATGCTGACACCGTGATTTTAGCAGGTGAGACTCATCTTCACCTCTGACCTTCAGAACTGTAAGGGAGAAAGGTGTGTTGCTCTGAGACACAAAGTTGGTGGTGATTTCTTAACAGCAGAGATCAGAAACCAATACGGGACCCTCCCACCCACCCTCAGCCCTCTGCTCCACCCTGCACCCAGCTCTCTCTCTGCTTTGAACCTAGGAGGCTGACCCACGAATGACCACGCAGCCAGCTCCCTGGTCCTCCGGCTAACAGGTGGGTGCAGCCAATGAGCCGCCCCCACGGCAGACAGGAGGGTGGGCAAAGAGAGAGGCCAGGGTCTTTCTTCCTTCTCCCTGCCTGCCTGGGAGGTGGTCCTGTCAGTGGCTGCATCCTGGGCTCCTGTGGACGGCCCTCCCAGCTCTGGTCACGCTGTTCTCTCCCGTGTCTGGTGCTGCCACCCTCACTGTGATTTCCCTTATCACCCCGCCTGCACAGACCCTCATTAAAGTCCCCTCAGAGTCCCAGCCTTTAGTCCTATATGACGGAAGTGGCCTTCTGTCTCCTGCCAGAAACCTGCCTGAAGTCAAGAGGTATGATCATCAAAGATGATCCCACCCATTTCCTCAGGGCACTTGGAGGAGCATTTCTCAAAGGAGAGTATTTGGTGTGGCCTTTGCAGTGATTCCACAAGTAGAATCAGGAACAGGGATCCCGGAACTGAGAAAGGGGTCCAGGATTGGATTCTCCACCCTCTTCCCATAAATATGTGGGCTCAGATGGATCTTGTGGACTCTCAGAGAGCTTGTTTGCTGTTGCAGAATGGGTGGAGGTGTGTCCACTTCCCAGGCTGACCAGGGAGTGGAGTGGCCGCACGTGTAGGAGCACACTCAAGCCGATGGGGGTATTCCAGGGGCAGAGCAGCGTGGGCTCAACAAGCAATCACGGCCGTGCCTAGTGGGCAGCGAGCAGCCAGAGTGCCTGGAAGAGTAAGACCTATTTCTGGAAAGGTGTGTGGGGAGCAGGGCCCAGAGGCATTTAGAATCAGCACAAAAACATGGATTCAGTTCAGTTGGCAGTGGGATGCCGGGTGGGTTTTTGAGTAGGGGAGTGACATGTGGTCCGAATGATTCAGGACCAAGACAGAGAGAACGGAAACTTAGGAGGTTAAAGATCTTTGGCAACTTCCTTCAGAGAATTTTGCAAAGCCATCTGTGTCTTGTTTTCTTTGCGTGAAAAGGGGAAATAGAGGTAAATAGAATTCCAGAAGCAACTTATTGACAGTGAGTCCCTGAGAGCAATTCTTTTCCTGGGTAATGTGTCTTCCAGCTTGAAGTGCTTGCCAAGCTCGTGTTCAGGAACACGCCAGGAACAGGAGAGCCGCCACGTGAAGTGCTCTTGTGGGGTGGAGGGTGGGAGTACTCTCTCATCATGGTCTATGGGCTGGTTGTACGTTCCTGGTCATATGTAGGAAAGGGAGGAAAAACTGAGTCACTGAACAAAATTACACAGAGCCACCAGGTAAATGAGATTGGTGGAAGCCACCCCGTCCCTTAAGAGTCACGACATACACCAAAAGGCACAAGATAAAAGCACCATTCTATTCGTCTGGCTACTCAGAGCCTGGTCAGCACAGAGGGGCCAATCTGCTCTCATTGTGCATCACTCCTGTTGTTAATAGTCTCTACTGTAACAGTCATATACAACTTTGGCATCTTGTAAAATGTCATTGTTATTTCCTTAAAATGACTTGTTTGGAACACTTCTCTATATTAGTCAGTACTTTTTGGCTTGCAAAAGTCAGAAACCCAGCTCAAACTGGCTCAGAAAATAAGCAAACTGAGAAGTCCAAGGGTATGAGCTGCAGCATCAGGCATGGCTGGATCCAGGTATAAAAACACTGTCATCAGGACTCTGCTCCCCCTCCCCAACCCAGGTCTGTTTCTTCTGCACTGGCTTCATTCTTTGGCAGCTTCTTTCTCCATGGTGGTTCCAGCAGCTCCAGACTTTTATTCTACAGGCCAAGTAGCCCAGAGGAAAGAGAAGACTTTATTCTTCATGGAATGGAACCCTCTTGGCTTATGCAGGGTCATGTGCTCACTCTGACATTGTTGTGTCAGGGATGGCAGGCTCTCGGTATCTGTCCTCAGTGTCCACTCCCTGAGAGGGGTGCGTGGTCCAGAGGAACGTATCTGGGCACAGAGAGTGAGGTGGGGGGCGGATGCCGGACTCACCAGTAGAGCAGGGGCCACCAGGTGTTCACTCCTTATTTTCTCCTTCACTTTCAATAACCCAGTGTACATTCTAATCCAAAAATGTGTTTGCTAACAAATCTACATGTATGATAATTCATCACAGAAAATTATAAAACTCTAGACCTGGCTGAATTCTTGCTCACCTTCTTGGGAGCCAGATTCCAGGAAAAAGTGATGACATGGGCCTCCAGGAGTCTGGATGGGAACTGCTGGACCCCTCTGCTTAATGCAGATATCCCCAGAGTGATGAACAGCAGAGTCTTTCTCTGTAGAAGGACTAAAATACTGGAGCCCAGAGCTCAGGCTCAGGCAGGTCCTGAGGTTACTCCATGGGAAGGACCTGGGGAGAGACCATTAACACTGTTAGCTGGGTCCCTAAACAGGGGTCTTTCCACATTACTTAGAATTTTGGGGTTGCAAGTGACAGCAACTAAATTCAGACTGACTAAAGCAAAATAGTAATAATAAAATTATTATTCACAATATAAAAATCATCATGATAAGCATTATTAATTAACATATACTTATGTGATCAATCACATAAATATAAAATTGGATATAATAGAATAGTTATGAATATTATTATAAATATTATTTCCTGACTCATATAACTTCAAGCATGGCTAGATCCAGGTGCTCAACAAGTCATCAGGAAGCTGTAAGTCCTTATCTCGGGTAGCTCTTCTCTGCACTGGCTTTATTCTCAAGTCCTCTGCAGCATCAGGCTTATACTCTCAGCTCAGCAGTCCCAGCAGAAAGAGAGAACCCCTTCCCACCATCCCAGGATTCACCTGGATGAGATTTTAGATTCCCTGTCCATCTCCAAACTACCCTCAGTAACCAAGGTGATGAGATACGCTGATGGGCCAGGCGTGGGGCATGCACCACCCCCACTCCCACCCCTCCCGAGTGATCAGATCCTTTCAAACTGAATGAGGGGGAGGGGTGGTCCCACAGAGGGGGCCTGCTGCCTGCAGGAAAAAAACAACAGCTGTCCCTCACTCGGGGAGGGGGCTGGTGGGGGAGTGCTGAAGTACAGAAGGCAGCCACATGCCAAGCAGGAGAGAAAGGCTGTTCCTGGCGGAGAAGTCTGAGTGAGGACTGGGCAATGAGGTGGGGGAGGGGGGTGCTGGGGAGCAGGTGTAGGGTCACAGATGGCGGGAGTCTTCTGCAGCATGGCCGATGGGCAGCCCTGAAGGCAGAGCAGAAGAGAGAGAAGCTGGGGTCAAAGGCCCAGAGAGCAGTTTGGTGCAGCTTGGAGGTAAAGCCTTGTCCTTTCGTCTCAGTTATGAGTCTGACGCCTGCCGCCCCCCACGTCCCCACTGTTGGCAGGCACGCCCTGGCTCCCCAGGCTCTTTGCTGCTGAAAAGCTTCTAGCTGGCTGCCCATCTTCCTGGAGTTGCCCAGATGGCCAGGGCATGAGGAGGATGCTTGTCTTCCTGCAGGGGTTCAGGGCTGCCGCTCTGAAGTCCCCCTAGAGGGATTCCTGTGAGTCTGGCCTTGCTCTGGGGGGCTGGGACACATGCGAAGGGGCCAGACGTGGCCCTGGTGTGCAGAGCTCATGTTCTGATTGGAGCCAGGACAGCCCATGGGCTTTTCCCTGGGCTCTAGCACAGAGTATGGCTCACCAATGGGCTTCGGGAAATGTTTGTGGAATGAAGGGCAGTGATTGGTGGAAATGGTTTACTGGCCATCGGGGAGAGGAACTGCTTTTAGTCTGTTCCACCTTTAACTGGCTGGGTGACCTTCACTTAGTCACAAAACCTCTCTGGGCATCCAGGTTCCTCGTCTGTCAAATGCGGGGGTTGGAATAGCCAGTCCCCAGGCCCCGGGTCAGCTCTAACACTTGCTAGCTCTCTGGCCGATCCTCCTGCTGCAGGGCCCCTGGCCCTGGCAGCCACGCTGGCTTCCAGCCTTCTCCCCTTGGTACCCTGCGCAGAGCCGGCCCGGGCCAGCCGGGGCAGGGGAAAGAGGCATTCAAGGCGCTGTAATTATTGTAAAGAGGAGAGTTTAAGTGTTTAGTTTTATGAGGTAGCCGGCCCTCTCTGTCAGCAGAAAGCCGCGTGGTTCCCTGGGTACGAGTTAATTTCCTCCGTGGCTCGTTTCCTCGCCTGCTGTCATTTTTTCTCAGCTGCTTTATGGCTTTCGGAGCCGTTCGGAGCAGTGTGTGGTGGTGGAGGTGGCCTTGCGCACTGGAGCAGAAAGCCAGGCCCCCCACCTCCATGTTGGAGCCCACCATGGCTGGGTCCTGTGGAGGGCAGCAGGGCCAGTGACCTCTGTGCTGGATGAGACCGGCAGGCTGGGAGGGCGGGAGGAGAAACAAGGCTGGGCCAGGCTGTCCCCAACCAGGCCATGGCCCCTGGCACCTCCCTGACAACTTGTAAGGAGGAAATCTAAATTAAGTGATGGTCAGGCCAGCCTTGCAGCTGTCCCGGGTCCCCCAGTGAAATAGCAGAAGATTTTTGCCTTCTTGTTTACAGTGAGCAAGGCAGGAGAGAAGGCACGAACTAGCTCTAGCTTCAGACAGACCTGGGTTCAATTCCGAGCCCCAGCACCACTGTGTCGCGTGGGTCTAGTGACCTCACCCCCTGGGCTATAATTTCCTCGCCTGCAGAGTGGGAGGTCGGTGGTGCCTGCCAAGTGGCTCTGAAGGGACAGAGAGTAGGGACAGAGTCTGTAGGAAAAGCACCTGGAAGAGAGACTCTGCTCCCCAGATGTTAGCTTGGTTATCTTGCCTCCTCTGTGGGGATGTCATTTCCACCCAGGGGAAAAGCAGGAATCCTGGGAGCCAGCAGATGACCTCTAAAAGACACTGTGGGTCCCCCAAGACCAAGAGCAGCCTCTCGCCTGCCTCAGGCCTGGCCATGCACATGGCATTGTCACGAGGGGGACCTGTGGAGACTTGGTGAACCCACTTGAAACTACTATGTGTAACTGTGAGCACATCGTGGGTTCTCTCATCCACATGATGTGACAGCAGCTACTTCTAAGGGCACATAGAGAGGATTACATTAAATGAGATGAGCCATGTGGACTGACACAGTGAGAACATCATGGTGATATCCCACCCAGGCTAATAGGGGCAGGGAGCTGGGGGACCCAGATTCTCTTCTGGATTGTGCCTCCAGCTCTTGTTCAAGCTTGAACATAGCTGCCCCTCTCAGGGAAGCTCATTCAGGCTGCAGACCCCTCTGAGACTTCATTGAGTTGTGGCTCCTCTACCCAGAAAAGTGAACACACGGGACCCCACAGATCTGGCAAGTGACTTCAGAGGTTTCTGAACCTCCTGAAATCTGTCTGCAGATCCCATGTTAAGGACTCTGAGCCCGGCCTCCCTAGTGATCTGGTGGTTAAGAATCCACGTTGCAATACAAGGGACACTGGTTCAATCCCTGGTTTGGGAAGATTCCACATGCCACAGAGCAACTAAGCCCATGCTCCACGGCTACTGAGCCCGCGCTCTAGAGCCTGTGCTCCGCAGCAAGGGAAGCCATTGCAATGAGAAGCCTTTGCACTGCAAGGAAGAATATCCCCATTGGCCACAACTAGAGAAACCCTGTGTATAGCAACAAAGATCCAGTGTAGCTAAAAAGAAAATAAATAAATATGTTTTTTTAAAAAGGAACTCTGAGCCAGTGGTTGCTCCGTGTCCTCACTGTCTGTGTCTTTGTGGGGGGACTGGAGGTAGGTTCTATGTGGTTTATTTGTGTCCTTTTCAGACCCATCAGCACCTGGATTCAGGGATTGGTCCCAGCCAAGAGTCCCCTGTCCTGCAGAGGAAGAAGCCCCACAGTGGTTGGCTCCCTCGGCTCACCTCCCCCACAGCTCCGTACATCTGTGGTTTATCCCAAGTATCCATCCCTTCTTCCTTCAAGAAACAGTCCTCCAATATTCCCCTTAGGAATATGAACGCCATGTCTCAGCCTATGATTGGTGAGCTGATTCCACACCCACCTTCAGGAACAGATCCTGATTGGCTGCTCAACATATCCCTTCCTCCTGGCTGTGTCTATTGGTTCAGAGATGGTCAGGTCACCCAATCAGAGCCAATGAGACATGAGAATATTCCTAGAGCTTCTGGGAAAGAAAGGTCTGCCTTGTCTTACGTGGAAGCCTGGAAGAGGTCTTCACTGTTCCCCTGAAGGATGTGGTATAAGACTAGGATGACTGCAGCTATTTTGCTACTAGGAAGGGATAGCCAGGAGCTGCCCAAGGTGGGGTGTGGGGAGGAGCTCCATGCAGAGCCTCAGGGTTGAAACAAGGAAGTCAGACAAAAGAGCTGGAGAGAAATGAGGTCTCTGTGAACATCTTTGGAGCTGCTGGACCAAGCCTTACCTGATATTAGCCCTACCTCCAGACTTTAAAACTCTAGTTCAATAAACTCCTCCATGATACAACCATTAATGTGAGTTTTTCCTGTCACGTGCAACGCAAAGCATCTTAACTGAACCTCCCTGCCAGCTGGGCCAGACAGATCAGGAAGAAGAGCTCAGGGATCAGGAAAACAAACTTCTTCCAAAGGATACGGGAGATCGGAATCTCCATCTACCCACCTGGTCCTGGGGAAACTTCAGAAATAAAACCAGGGCTGAGAGAGTAGATGAATCTTTGATACCATCTGACTGGGCAGGAAGAAATATTGGCTATTTGGAGTTTGATTAATCACCAATTCCATTCAAGTCCACAAATGTTTCCGGAAAGCCAGTCACATGCAGGACACTCTGCCAAGTGATGGAAGAGGCGCGCACGAACCGGGCAGTCCCCACGGCAGGGAGCTCCCAGTCAGGTGAGGAAGAGAGGCTCAGTCAGAGCTCATCTGATACAAGCAGGACTGGGATATGTGCTAAGATAGAGATACGGATTGACTGGCGCTGGGAATCCAGCAGAAGAAGGCTGCGGGGAAGACAGAGCCAGGGAATAGGGTGATGTTCCCTGCCCACCGGGTTTCCCAGGAGGTGCTAGTGGTAAAGAACTAGCCTGTCAATGCAGGAGACTCAAGAGACACCGGTTCAATCCCTGGGTCAGGTAGATCCCCTGGAGGAGGAAGTGGCAACCCACTCCAGTATTGTTGCCTGGGAAATCCCATGGACAGAGGAGCCTGGAGGGCTACAGTCCATGGGGTCACAAAGAGTCGGACACAACTGAAACAACTTAGCATGCATGCACACACCCTGCCCCACCAGGGCATGCCATCACCTCTACCCCAAGAGAACGCCTTTCCCCACCCCCACGAAAACACAGCAGGGGCTAGCGTGGTCCCAAATGCCAAGTGCATTTGTGGAGCAATCCCTTGATCCCTAACCTTACTGAGTGGTCCAGATTCTGTGCTCCCCAAAGTGTGGGATGAGGACCATGGCCGGGGTTGGCTTTTAGGAGGTACCGAGAGTGGAGTCAAGTCACACTGTCTTGCTCAGATGGTGAGAAAGCTGCTCCCTGTGTAGTTCTCTCTAAAACCTTCCATCAAGGACAAAATTGGGGTGGCGCTAGCCCATCTCTAACACCTCTCCAGCACTCCCTGAGTCCTCCCTCTTGCAGAGAAAGGGAGAGAGAAAGAGAGAGCAGACCTCTGCCTATTGCCTTCTGCAGGCAACAGGCTTTTGCTCAAATTTCTTCACACTATTTTGTTTTCGTGGCATTTATTTTAACAGTTGTCTTCTATTTATGGCAAGTGATATTGGCTTTCCATTTATGGCAGTGATAAAAAAGTTTCCTTACATTTCATTTCTTTAAGTTGTTTTTTTTTTTTTACAGGGGGGATGTTGGAAAGAAAAATATGAGAGGGGGACACAGATATGATCAAAAGTGTGAAGGTGGGGTGTGAGTGACGAAAGTTGGGGGAATACTCATTGCACAAACACAGGCTACCTGCCTACTGTGTGCCAGGTGCTGGGAACCCAGAAGGGAACCAAGGCAGCAAAACCCTGTCCTCACTGAGCTTACAGTCTCATAGGAGAGAAGTGGGTAAAACGCAGCCATGTTAGATGATGCTGGGTGATCTGGCATGAATCCTAAGCAGGGAACAGGGTGGCTGTGCCTGCAACCCCACCAGGTACAGCTTCACTGAAAACCTGGCCATGAGGGCAGGCTTGGAGGAGGTAAATGGAGCCTTCACAGATGCCCCGGGAAAGGGACAGAGCAGGAAGGAGAATCAGAAGGACCCATCATGTTGCTGTGCCCTCCTCACTGAGCCTAGGATTGGAGACTCCCTCTGGTTGCTATGACACCCTGGAGAAAAGACCACATCAATGCACTGTTCTCTTCCTTCGGTATAAAGAAGCAAAGATGACCTGCAGAGATGAGATGGTGTAGTCCGCAAAGCAGCCCCCAGGGTCCCCGCAGCTGTACCTGGCCCCACACTGTGCACAGGTTCAGCGCCATGTGTGAGGTGGGGACCCTGCAGGACAGGGCCCCCCCGGGGCTTTGAACTCATCCCCTTCTGAGTCATCAAAGTGCCATTGACTTATGGTCGATAACTGTAGGGGTACTGAGTGCACTTTATTACTCCTTTTATTGAAAATTGGCCATCTATCTGTGGTCCTTCTGCAGCGTGAAAGGTAGGAAAGCTGAGATTCCCAACTGTGGCTCCCCTGCTTACGAGCTGTCTGCTTTTGAGTGGATTCTTTTATTCCTTTGATCTTTCATTTTCTTGTGTATAGAATGAGGGTAGCAGATTGAATAAGGTCGCTTGTACTGCTCTTGGTATGTGTGACCAGTCAGCAAATGTTGTCCTGTCCTCCACATACCTAAGTCCGCGTTGTCTGGGACACCCCATCTTTCTTCCACAAATGGGAGCTGGCAGAACCAGGAGATGGCAGGAAATCCATTCATTCATTCAATAAGTACTTATGACTCCACTCCAGGCACTGCTCCAGTCTCTAGAGGCACAGCAGCAAACCAAAGATGGATAAGATCTTGCTCCCATGGGATCATGTCATCAAAGCAATGCACGAGATTTCAGCATGAGTCTCAAGGACTGTTCACAGGCACCAGCTCTGAGTGTCCAGAGGAGGCTTTGCCAGAAGATGGGACATTGGGGTAAAAAAGGGTGAGCTTTGCAAAGGTTTGGGGGGACAGCACTCCAGGCAGACAGAAAAGCAAAGTCCCTGGGAGCTGTCTGAGCCATAAAAAAGTCCAACTGCTGGAGGAAGTGAGCACTGGGGAATTTTTTAGTATAAGAGAAAGGGAGACGTTACTCCCCGTGGCTTTAGGAAAGGGAGAAGCCTTGGGGGAAGACTGTGT